ATAAAATTTTTCAATCAGTTATAGTTTCATTATATTTTAGTTATAAGTTTCTATGAATATATATTCTTGAAAAATATGTCGTGTTTAAATATTTGAATTAAAATACACGAAATGTTGCACTTTGTCGACTAAATTATTCATTGTATTAGCAAACATTGAAAAATGACTTTGACACCTTACATTAAATTGTATGCAGAACATGTTTTTTCTACTTAGAGTCAATTTTCATAAGTGTCCTGATTTACATTTCTGATGGTACATTAAACTTATATGTATTCAGTTTACCTATCTTTTATTAAATTTTTAATTTCAATTCTTTTTTTTACTGTAGCCTAATTTTACCACAATATAAAAATGCAAACATATTCGCAATTTTTTCTTGTCAAAGATATTTATGAACATACATATGTATAGAAACTTTGAGTAAAAAGAGATTAAAAATCTGTAAATTTATAGTGAAAGATAAAAATTTTATTTGAAGATAATGACGAAAAATGAATTACTATTTTAAAAAGTAAATTTTTTATTTTTAAATCAGTTAAAAAATTTATTAGTTTGTAAATTACAACTTGTACTTTTCTTTGAATTTATTTTCGTTTTTTTTTCATGAGAGCTGTGACTTGTAATTTTTAAGTCAATCAATTTTCGAGAAAATATATTTTAATATTTGAAAATTATAATTATAGTATTTTTATTCATTATCTGGATCTGTTTTTTAAAGAGAAAAATACGTTTATTTAAGTCTATAATCAAGATGACATTGATATTTTTTTTTTTCTAATATGTGCTTTGATTTTTTATTTTTATGGCTAATTAATAAAGTATTATAAAACAAATAAAAATAGCATTTAAATAAATTGTTATTAACATTGTTAGGTCATTAAATGTATTAAGCAGTTACAAAAGGTATAATAGCTAAGTATAAATGTTTATGCAAGGAAAATGTTGAAGGACAAAAAAAATGTGTAATAATTTGCTGGAGAACTATTAGAACTTGATGTTACCAATTTTTTTTATAAATATATTAGTAATTGTTGTATTAATAATTACACATATACTGACATACGTATATTTAAAATCCTTAAAAACATTTATTTAATATTATTATTGAACTACACGGAGAAAAATGGGATTGCTGTGCAAACAATTTTTGGATTGTTGTCAGTAGATTTGTTGATATTAGAATTCGAAATGTTAATATTACAATTCGGATTGTTGTCAATACTAATGTATGTTGTTTTAACAACAATACGAATTTTTTGTTGTCAGTTTTGTTCAGTTTGCAATTCCGTACAGTTGCAGAAGCAAACTCTCTGCCGATTGCTGATGGAACAATCCGGATTTGTTCAGCTGACAAGTTTATTGTTCCATGTCACGTGGTCATCTTGAATTCTCCCAATCTGGCGTGCAGATCGTCGCGTCGTTTGCTTCTGGCACATGTGCCACTTTTGCTTTTATTATTAGTTTTTTTTTAAATGACAAAGTGCTGTTAAATAATGAATCCGGTTAAAGTTAGAAATCTATTGTAAGTGTGGTAAATGGATGAAGAGACAATTTCATCGTTTATCGGTAAGTTATACTCGGTTACTATTGAATATAACCTCACCTTAAAAAATACAAATTGTCTATTAAATATTATTTAACAACAAATTTCAACTCAAAATAATTTTTTGGTTTCAGGTCAAAGAATTTGATTCAGAAACTGCATGTTCCACAGATTTTAATTCAAATGAAACTGGTGATATGACCTACGGAAATCTGCTATCGATTATTTTAGAAGGCGAAGAAACTGAACAAATTGTATTAGACGGAACAAAGCTTTGTTAATAAAACAAATTGTATTGCCGATTTAACAATTTAGTTTTGTTATTTCAACTGTTCCATAACAATTTTTCTTTGTTCATCAAACAATTCTGTTTGTTCACCGAACAATCCGAATAGTTTTAATAACAATTCCATTTTAACAATTTTTTTTGTCCTAAAAACAAATAGAACTGCTGATTCTATATTGACAATCCGGAATTGTTGTGTAGACTTAATTCTTAGTAACCACAACAATTCTTTTTTCTCCGTGTATAGGAAATCACTTTGGGGCCATTCGTTAATTACGTATAAGGATGATTTTGGCTAATTTTGACTCACCCTACCCCCATGCAAGGACACAAGATTTTTCGGACCGCCTTCTTCTCCTTCTTACGAAAGTTTTTAACAATCTTCATGCAATTAAAAAAATTATTTACAACAATAGAAAAGGAAAATACTTGGCAAAATCTTACGTAAGAATAGCTTCTACCCTCCCCCCCCACTCCCTGATGTAAGACCAAGTATGGATTTTATAAACCCCCCTCTTACCCTAAGAACCCTTACGTAATTAATGAATGGTCCCTTATAACATAGAATATGGAATATATAATCCTTTATTTAAAAATTGTAGAATTATTCATAATCCCTTTTTTAAAAATTTACAATGAATAGAAAAATAAATGTCAACAAAGAGAAATGAATTCATGAATTTATTTTTTTTAAACAAAATAAGTAATATGTATTTAAAAAAAACAAGTAATTTTGACAATAGTTTCCTTGTTTACTACATACATATCTATAACCAAGTATATATAATTATACTTTTCTCGGGGAATCACATGAAATTGTCATTTATTATATAGGTGTACCTATTTATTAAAGTCCATTTAAAACAATTTTGACACATTTCTTCTTTTGTATGCAGTTGATTTAATTGCTACTATAAGGCCTATAAAGTTTGAAAGATATTTACTGAAAATGTGTATCACGAGTTTTAACTCGTGACTTTAATAGGAAATAAAAATAAAAAAAAAAATTGCTTCTAAAATTAGTAATACTATTTTCTTTCCTCAAAGATATATAGTTAAATATATAAATCATACTATACGCACGTGAGAAATTAAAAACGTTTCTTTTAAAAAATATGAGTGTCGAATTTGCGAATAAATGTACATATTTACTTCAAATAATATATAATAAGTAAAGACACGCTGTGGTGTTAATGATTCTTCAAAGAGATTCTTATCAAACTGAAACTAAAAAAGAAATAAGAAACTAAACAAATTTTTCAGTAGAATTTTTATTTAAATTGGAAAATTAAAACTTTTAATCTCTAAAAATATTATTGAATTCAATAATTTTTTATTTATATGCCATATTCGAGGGTTCAATAACTTTAAAGTAATTCACATTACTTCAGATAATTTAAAATACTTCAAGGTATTTCAGGATACTTCAAGGTATTTCAGGATACTTCAAGATACTTCAAATAGTTCAAAATACTTCAAGGTATTTCAGGATACTTCAAGATACTTCAAGATACTTCAAATAGTTCAAGATACTTCAAGGTATTTCAGGATACTTCAAGATCATTCAAGACACTTCAAGATACTTCAAATAGTTCAAGATACTTCAAGGTATTTCAGGATACTTCAAAATATTTCAAGATACTTCAAGATACTTTGAGTAATTCAAGAAAGTTCTGATTACTTCAAGATACTTAAGAATATTTCACAATACTTCAGACAATTCACAATACTTGAGATAATTCACAATACTTCAGATAATTTAGGATACTTCAAATAATTCAAGATATTTCTCCATACCTCAGATAATTTAGAATGCTTCAGATAATTTTAAATACTTCAAGATACATAAAAATACTTGTCAATACTTGAGGTATAGTTCAAAATACTTCAAATAGTTTAAGATACTTCTAGGTATTTCAGGATACTTCAAGATACTTTAAGGTACTTCAAGATACTTTAAGGTACTTCAAGATACTTTAAGATACTTTAAGGTACTTCATGATACTTTAAGATACTTTAAGATACTTTAAGATACTTTAAGATACTTTAAGATACTTTAAGATACTTCAAGGTACTTCAAGATACTTCAAAATACTTCTCAATACTTGAGATCACAAAAAAAACCTGAATTCAAATTGAGTATAGATTCTATACTCAATTTGATTCGCAACAAAAATGAAACTGGTTGTCTCATTTCGAGTTCTAAGGTAAAAGTATCAAAATGAAACAGGCAAGTTTCATTTTGAGAAAAAGAAAAATGGAAAAATATTGTGAAATAACGAATAATTTTGCACAAAAACATGAAATATAATAATTACAAAGAAGTAAATAACACGCTAGACTTAATATATTTGATTAAAAATTGCTTGTAATCGCGTAATAAAATAATAAAGGAAATATGTTTTTAGGTTAGAAAAATGAAAACATGTGTTTTGACAACAGGAACGGTACTGCCAACTTAAATAATAGCGGTAAATTTAAAAACTTATGAAATTAATTATTATCTACGTAAATAATAATAAATAATTTTTATTTAAAAACTTCTAAATATTCGTACTGGTCAAAATAATCTTTCTGGTGTTGTTGAAATATTAGAAACAATAATTGAAATACAAAATTACTCTGCTTATGATGCACTGAAAAAAAAGTCTGGTTAAAATAACCAGAATTCTGGTTAATCTAACCAGAATAAAAAGTTATATATACCCTTACTACTTTTTCTGGTTAAAAGTACTAGAAAATTTGGTTAAAAAATTCTGGTTAATTTTACCAGAATTTCAAGTTAATCTTACTAGAATTTCAAGTTAATCTTACTAGAATTTTTCTAGTTAAAAATTTTTGGTAAAAAAATTTCTGGTTGATCTTACCAGAAATTCTAGTTAATCAGAGAATTAATTAAATTTATTATTATTATATTATATTATAAAATATTATAAAATATGAATTAAAAAAATTTGTATTATGTACATATAAATGCAATCAAACAATAACACCTTTACACTGCAATTCTCTTAATAATGTTTATTTAAATATGATTATTCAGAACTAAAATTCTGATAAAACGTGTCGAGCACGTTTTCAACATAACCTTCAAACTATTTTCCACACGAACGGGTTTGCCGTTCGTCAACAATTTTTTCACTTATATTATAAAATTAATTAACCAACCTTTAAACAGATCTTTTAATTCTCCCAAACCCCAATTTTCCAGAGCTTGGTTAACTTTTTCATCCATTCTTGCGATCCGCACGATAAACTATTCGAAAAAGAACAACAGATGCTATGCAGTGTCCGCGAACGCGCGTTTTTAACCAGAATTATTTTAACCAGAATAATTTAACCATACTTATTTAACTAGAACTGTTTAGTCTTTTTAACTATATTTTCTTGTTAAAATAACTAGAAATTTTTTAACCAAACGCATCTAGTAACTTTAACCAGAACTTTTTTTTCAGTGTGCCAACTTAGAAATCTGAAATTCCAGCCAATATCATTTTGAATAACATGAAGTTTGTCCCATACTCATTTCGATACCCAAAAGAAAATGAGTTGCAACAAAAATGAGTCCAAGTTTTTTCTGTGATATAGTTCAAAATACTTTAAATACTTTAAATAGTTCAAGATACTTCAGATAATAAAGGATATATTAATCTATTTCAAGATAATTCACAATACTTTAAGATAATTCAGGATATTTCACGACAATTTTAATAATTTATGATACTTGAAATAATTCAAAATACTTCGAGTAATTCAAAATACTTTAGAAATTTTATAATATATTCCAGATAATTAAGAATATTTCAAGATAATTCTCAATACGTTAAGATATTTTTATTTAATTCAGAGTATTTTTATTTGATTTAAATAAAAAAATTTATTTACGCCAAATATAAATAGGCTATTATTAGTCTGTGAGATAAATATACGTTTTTTTAACTCAAATATAATATATTTGGTTCAAATAATATATTTCTCTGGGTGTTCTTTAAAGATATTTGACGATACTTCAGATAATACAGATAATATTTAAAGATAATTATTAATGCATAAAGGGAACTATAAAGTTTTTTAAGACTAATTATAGTATTAAAAAGAAGGAAATTTCGTTAGAATAAAAAAAATAAAAGAATGTTGTAAAAATGAAATGGAAAATTTGAAGAGAAAAAAAAAAGAAGTTTCACACAGAACTTGTCTATAATCGAGCCTCTATATACATGTAAGTGTGAAAGTAGCAAAACGGCTCTTGCGGTCCATTCGACAGTCTCGACCCTGAGAAGAGTTGAGAGTCGCGAGCGGGAGTTTCGGAAGTGTCTGTGAGAGAAATAAGGCGTCGGCGAAATGCGAAACATAAAATCTCGAATGGGCCGCATAGCAGCTGATCGGCAGAAGTGGAAGTTAGTTTTCTCGACGCCACTGAACCCCCAGTGAATACTCGGGATTGAGTCAGTTGGTCTGAGTCAGTCAGCCTGGTCAGCCCTGTGGTTGTAAACGGAGAGAGACACACGCGGTGCTCGCGCACACAATGTGTGTACAATGAGCATTTCGGAGCTGCAGTTTACACGCCGACTATAGGCAGCCTAACCGAAGAAGCCTTTTTTTTCCTCCCTTTCATATAATATATAATCAAATTTCCTCTCCATTTTCACTGTGTGGTAAAAAAGAAAAGCACTTTCGCGACGCGACGCTGCTTTTAATAATAAAACAGTAAATTCGCGTCTATCGTTGTTATTATTTTTATTGTTTTTCTATTCTCTTTCTTTCTCTCTCACATGAGTGTGTGTGTGTGTATTTGTGATTTAGAAATTATTTAATTGTCAAATTTCATTATTGATGACAAGAAAAATTTTCTAATTATAAATTCAATATCCGGACTGTCTTGCACTAAAAGGACACATGAACTGGAATTTCAGACCGGAAGAGTGTCATTCTTCAGGCCGTTGTCCCGAGGTCCTTAAACGTGATATACAAACCGGTATCTCACATCAGAGAGACAATAACTGTAAGTCTGAAATTGCTTGCATTGTTAACTTAAGCTTGTCACAAATTATTGTAAACAATAGTAAAATAGCTAAAAATCAATTTATGCGATAAGATTTATTTTATTATTATTATTATTTTTTTTTTTTATTCCCAAACTTATGAAACGATTGAATTATTTCGAAGTTTGTTTCTTGCAATAATAATTATGCGTGTTTACATTTTTAGTTGCTTTTAATTTTTAAATATAAAAATTTGTTTATATTGTTTTATAATCAAATTTTTTTTAAACAGAAATTATTGTCGACTTTTAAAAGTTTGAGAACAAAAAGGAATTGAATTTTTTATTTTTGAATTAATTTTTGATTAATTGTGTTCTACTAAAAGTTGTTGATATATTTTCCTGTAAACGGTATATTCTTAAAATTGGAAGATATTCTCAATTAGAAACTTAATTAGAATTTATTTTTGTTTGAAAATAATTTAAAAATTGAAAGATATTTTTATATTATGACTAACAATGATACTCAAGTTTACAATGTTTATGATAAACGATTAGAAAACAAATTTTTTATCAAAAAAATTTTTTTTTTATAATTTGTTCTATAAACATTGCAAGAAATATCTTTGAGGCGAAAATTCATCGAATTTTTCAATTAAAAAAAAAAATATATATATATATATTATTATATATTTCTTTTGAAAATCATTGACCATAAAAGTTGTGAACTTAAGCATAGTAGAATAAAATATGTATACTAAATTTAAATTGGAAATTAAAATTTATTCTTAATTTCAGATTATTTTTATTCTACATATAGTCAAGTAAAAGTTTTTTATGCAAAAAACTTTATAAAAGTATAATATTTGTTTTCTGAGCATATAGTTAATAAAGTTATTAAAAATAGTTTAAATAAGTTTTTAAAAACTCAATTTATAAATATTTTCAAAGAAAATTTTATCATTTTAAAGTTGAAATATTATGTTTTATTATATTATGAAGAAACGAATAGTTTGTAAAACGATTACATATGAATTTTTATACTGTAATGAAATTAATAATTGACTGATTTTTTTTTAACACTTGAGAAATAAATCGAAAGGGTTTATATTGAAATATAATTGTATTGTATTGCATTTTAGTGGTTTCGTTTGTTTCACCGTCTGTTACATTTCACTTATCGTTTTTCTCGTATATATATATATATATATAATATACACTTTTTTACGATCATTCTCTGCTCAATTTTCCTCGCTATTTCTTTATTTTGAAATTACCCATTAAGGTTTTGCTCGTCTAAAAATATGTTCTAGTTTTCTATTCCGCATAATCTTTTATCCTCAGTATAAAATACTGTATGAATAATTATATATATAATATAAAATATTGTGTATTTTTTTACACTTCAGTTATATTTTAGATTAAAAATAATTTCATACATATTTGTCCACATTACATAAGTTTTTCAACATTTCTTATTGTTTATTCAATTCACTTTTACCGTCTTGTATTACTGAATTAAATTTGCAAAATTTGCTGTTCTATTATTAACTTGCTGAATTGAATTTTTAATTATATTGAAAGGAATGTTAAAAGATTATAAATTATAAAATGAAAATTGACAATATTTCATATATTTATTGTATTATTTTAAATTTATTAAATTACTTTCTCTCGGGTATAAATTTAATTTAATTTTTTAATAGGAATTAGGAAATAACGATAGGTTTAATAGATTCAAAAAAAAAAAAAAAAAAATTCTATATTTGTACAATGGATCTTTAATTTATGCATATTTTAAGGAATTTCCTCACTGCAGAATAAGTTTATATTCTCAGGACTTTTTACTGAAATCATTAACCTCATGAATATGAAATGTAGATGATTCATTTGCAGATTCCCACTTTTTATATATATGCGATATAAAATGTAGGTAAAATCTTGTCCTGATTTTTAGTCACTTCCACTTTTTCGGAATATATAATGAATTTATAAATAAAATCCAGATATTTTCAGTATTCATAAACAAAACATTGAACTTTATTTACAACATTTTTAATTAATTTCCACTTTAATTGAAAGTACAATGTTATTATTAAAATTGCAACTATAATTTATATAGTAAATTATAAATTTATTTTATCAATTACACAGGCACACAAAAAAAAAAAAGTTGTCTGTTTCTTGAACTACACATATATTTCCTATAGTATTTTGGCCCGCTGAAACCGAATCTGAGCTCAGAATTGCTCCATCACCCTCAGTTTTTTTTTAAATCGACCAAAACCACCCTTAAACGGACAAATTCAAACTTCGGAGATAAAAAATAAATCAACTTATTTTTTAAAAAAACCAAATTTTACATTTACGAAACTTTGCTCCACTAACTCAAAAACAGAGCCAGCATTGATCCAGCACCCCCTGAATTTTTTTAATCGAAAAAACTACCCCTAATCTGAAGAATCAAATTCAGGAGGTAAAACAATAAAATAACTGATTAAAAAATTTTATAACCAGATATTTTTACTCCAGCAATGCAGAAACAAAGCCAGAAATGCTCCCTCACCCTCTAAATTTTTTTTAAATCGAAAAAACCACCCTTAAATAGAAAAATTCAAATTTAAGAAGTAAAAAAATATTAAATTACCGGCTTTTTTTAAAAACAGAACCTTACATGTATGCAGTTTTGCTCTACTAACTCAAAAAAATAAAGCTAGCATTGATCCATCACCCTCTGAATTTTTTTAAATACAAAAAAACTACCCTTAATCTGAAGAATCAAACTTAGGAGGTAAAACAATAAAATAACTGATTAAAATTTTATAACTAGGTATTTTTACTCCAGCAATGCGGAAACATACCTGGCTGTAAAATTTTTCAATCAGTTATTATATTGTATTATCTCCTGAATTTGATTCTTCAGATTAGGGGTAGTTTTTTCGATTAAAAAAAATCAGGGGGTGCTGGATCAATGATGGCTTTGTTTTTTTGAGTTAGTAGAGCAAAACTGCATACATGTAAGGTTCTGTTTTTAAAAAAAGCCGGTAATTTAATATTTTTTTACTTCTTAAATTTGAATTTTTCTATTTAAGGGTGGTTTTTTCGATTTAAAAAAAATTTAGAGGGTGAGGGAGCATTTCTGGCTTTGTTTCTGCATTGCTGGAGTAAAAATATCTGGTTATAAAATTTTTTAATCAGTTATTTTATTGTTTTACCTCCTGAATTTGATTCTTCAGATTAGGGGTAGTTTTTTCGATTAAAAAAATTCAGGGGGTGCTGGATCAATGCTGGCTCTGTTTTTGAGTTAGTGGAGCAAAGTTTCGTAGATGTAAAATTTGGTTTTTTTAAAAAATAAGTTGATTTATTTTTTATCTCCGAAGTGTGAATTTGTCCGTTTAAGGGTGGTTTTGGTCGATTTAAAAAAAAACTGAGGGTGATGGAGCAATTCTGAGCTCAGATTCGGTTTCAGCGGGCCAAAATACTATAGGAAATATATGTGTAGTTCAAGAAACAGACAACTTTTTTTTTTTTGTGTGCCTGTGTTATTGTATTCTTATTTTATCCTTAAAAGCCATATAATATTAATTAGAAGATATCTTTAAATTTTATTGTTTGACCAAAGTTTTACAAAATTAATTTATTTTTAATAAGTAACTTCTAATAAAAATAATAGTAATAATAATAGGTATAGCAATTAAAACTTCATTGAGGAAAAAAATGATAACATACACTTAAAAAAAAAAACTATTTCCTGTAAAATGAAATAAAGAAAAAGCGAATTACCAGCATTTTACACCTGCTAATAAAATAAATATTCAAATTAGTTATGGAAATTCAGAAAAACGCATATATATATGTTCAAGAAAATTATTGCAGAGATTTTAAATTTATTGGAATACATGGTCTAGACTTTATAATAATGGTAATTGTAAATTATAACAAATGTTTCATATGACAATAATTATCTTTTGATGGTCATAAAAAAAACTCAAAGAAATTTTTTTTTTTTTGTCTATAACACATTTGTTAATGTATTACACAAGTTGAACAATGAATATGACATTGCTTTTTAAGACAGATAAGAATATATAAAATCAAATGAATATGTAACAACTACATGTGTCGTATATTATGCAAATGAATTTTATGGAAATTAACTTTTATTATATAAAGATGAGGAGGTTTAATGTATCTCAAATTTCAGATATTTTTAAATTTTCGCATGCGTCTTTATTTGCTGTGTCTCTTGAAAGTATATTTAAGCAAATTCTAATGATATATTAAAGTTTTCAAAAAAAAATTTTTTTTATAAAATTTAAATTATGATTGAAATCGAGATAGTAAAAATAGTAAAGTGCCCATTAAATTTTTATGTTAATTTTGGTATTTAATTTTTTGTTGAAAAAAAATTTTTTTTGGTTTATATCAGATATAAGCTTATAGGAAATAAATTTCGAGAATTTTTTTTTTTTTAGGTTTTTATATAGTTTTAACGTTGTTATTAATTTATTTCATTAATTACAAAGTTTAGAGGCAAAAGTGTAAAAATGATTTTCATCTTTATATATGTATATATATATATATATATATATATAAATAATACTTAGATCTTCATTTATAAATTTAGTTTCGCGAGATCAGTGTGTAATTAATCTTTAGCGAAGCGATAGAAGATTTTTGATAAGAATTTCTTGTATAGAGCTAAAGATATAATCTATTGCAAGCAGTCTGTAATTTGCATCGTTATCATAATGTCTATCATTACTGCATTTTAATTCAAGCAATCAAGAATGAATTATTCATTTTGAAGGATTTTTGTTACTTTCACTAATTTGGAATTATAAACTGTTATAAACTTTAGACATGTAGACAATTATTTTTCTATTTATAATTTTATTCATCACATCATAATTGTGTTAATTTTTCTATTTTTTTTTAATTTTTTCTATTTTTATGATTAATGATTATTATTTAATTTGCTTTTTTTGTATTTATTATTATTATTATTTTTTTTAATTATT